TATCCATGCTAAAAATTAATTGTAAACTTTAAAGGATTGTAAAGAAATATTGTATCTGGGCTATACATAGGTCTTGCTCAGTCAGGCTTCGAGCAGAAAAGTCAGAATTCTGGCAAAGTTTGATGCGAAGTCGTAAATGTGATTTATGTAGTTATTTAGATTAGTTTAATGTCTCTATTACTGTTGGTATTCAAATAAACGTTCAACAAAGTTTTCGTTTGAAACAGTTGTGTTCAACTGTCGGAAATTTTGAACCTATGGAATAACGAACACTTGACGATCGTTTGAAGTTACACCACTGGTGTTTGAAATATAGAGATCAGTGAAGTTACAACATCGGTGTTGGTAGTGACAAGCGTCAAATTTAACTGACTCTCTTAATGTTCTACACCGTGATTTATCATGAAAGAAAGAAAGTAGAAACAGTTTTTAAGATGCTAAAAATTTTTGATTTTTGAATTAAAAAACTTAAAAAAATTTTTGGGAGTATGACTATATATTTTGCTAAGGTGTTTTAATGATTCGACTTTTATCGTTATTGTTTTCACCACGAAAAACACTTTTAGGGGAGATTAAAGAAACGAATACAAGCATTAAAATTAAAGGACATTAGCTTGTTGTTTGAAAGGTAATGGAACTTGACCGGATAAGAAACATTTGTTATTTGCTTATTATTATAAAGATAATTGTGCAAATATTTAAACATCAACTTCATCATAAATTTATATACTCCTAATTGTTATAAATCGATAGAATTATTAATAAACAGATGCCAAGAAATTGTCCTGGCAACCATATATCAATTATAAAAAATAATTGAGGCACGGTAAAGTTGAAAAATGACCAATGGGTGGTACATTGCGTCGTACGTAAGTGTTGATGGTTACAAGTTTGAAAATTTTTATTCTGACGAATTTTCTTAGTGTTTCATGAATATTTATTTAAAGTTGCAAATATAAATTATTTATGAGTAAAAAAGCTGTGAACTAAAAAACGTTCTACATGTATTCCATGGATAACTTTTTTGAGACAAGTAAAAGAAAATTCATTTGATAAATTAATTCTATTTTTTTTGCGTTAAAATGTTCATAGCTGAATTTTTTAATTTAAAAGTTTTGAAAAATAAAACAAATTTCAGAAAAATTACATGAAAAATTATCTTGTACGTTGAAATTTATTAGATGAAAAAGCTTCAGTTCAGATGGCGGTGAGGTTTGTGACAGATGGGTCTCCTTTCATAGATGGTTAATGAAAAATATTTGAATTCATTCCCTTAGTGAACATTTTAACTGATGGCTTGAATTAAACCTCACTGACTGCTAAGGTTTATTTATAGATGTCTTTCTATAAAGATTTATTAATGTTGATATCAATTAAATTTTTTTTTCATTCAAACAGTTTTACAGATGGTTATTTCATTCCGCTACATATATAATTGTCTCATAATGTTATTCAACAATATTTTCTAACATTCATCTCAGGGTCAGTTAATTGTTGTATCAAAACAAAACAGAAAAGCACTTATATTGTACAAATAAATTTTGTTGTAAACATTTTCGAGAAACATTAAACCTTATCATGCGTCGTTTTTTTTGAGGAAGTTTGACATGCAAAGTGTAAGTTGAATGTATGAAAATTGCAGAATTGTTGCATGTTGTTAGCTATCAATAATGTCACATGTGGTCAGTTGTGGCGTGTCATGTGTGCCGAGTGTCCTATCGAAAGTGGGACTACCTGTGGTGCGCCATTTCCTTGATTAGATATCAAACAAATGGCCCAGTTGTTTAGTGTGTTTTTTCCACCATAAGAGTTAAATTTTCTCGTATGCCAATACATTTTGAAATACGCAGAAAATTTATGGAACAAAATACATAAATACTGGCAAATAAGATGTACCTCAACTCGATCTATTAAACTAAAATTTTACTGAAACTCGGACATGACGCATCAATGCTTAACTGACCCACAAAAGTATTATTTATGATGAATATATTACGCAGTTTTATGATTGTTTAATTTTCTCTGAAGAGCAGATGTATTTATAATTTTTTGCAAAATTCGAAAGTTAGAAAATGCAAAATTGTTAAAAATCCATTACAATTTCAGGCGAACGATTGAGAAGTTTTTCAGAGAACATTCAAAATAAAGCTTCCTTGCTTATCAGTGGATGGAACCATGGAACCATGTTGTTTGTTGTTGCATGTCAGATGTAACTGTTTGTCAAATGATCTGAAATGTCTAGAAAGTGATGCGAACTCTATGAGGTAGAGTGAGCCAACAACAACAAACAACATCAGGCAAGGAAAAGAATTATGTTAATTTATTGCTTCATCAAATATCTTAAATGGATACATATCTGGATGCTAAAAAATAAAAAATAAGTTACCCACCTTTTCGCCGGGGCAGTCGGCCATCTCTTCAGCTAAGAATATTTAAATGCTCTTCAACTTTACAAATAATAAATACTTTCGAGTGAGTTGAACACATTGGAAAAAACACATTTGGAAAATAAATTTGTTTACGGAAGTTTTAAAATTATAGAAATTACTTAGTATTTATAATTAATAAAATATTTTTGTGTTGTACGAAAATCAAATTTATTATTATGGAACGCAAGAGTT